ATTTGCTTATCTCTTGTAACTTGGATTTAACCATCCAAATTTGTCAAAAAAATTTCTTTATATATTGCAACAGATAAAATAATTATTTGCATAGGTGAAAACGTTAATGCAAATATAACATTTAACAATATTCAAATCAATGACAATATATATTTTACTGAAACAAATACTATCATGTGGGACAAAATTACTCCTTTTTATATAGCACCTTCATTTGGGAGGAGATCATTGCAAGTATGTCATTTGTTGATCATATCTACATGGTATGGGCTAATGTTTGTCATAAAATAATGTGAAAAAATGTTCTCTATATGATCATGATGAGATTTCATTGTTTTCTAAGGATATGTTTTTGGAAACTTGAATCCTTATTTGAGGAATGTATTTTAAATATATGATACATGTAATTTTAAATATATGTTTTTTTAAATTCATTATTTGGATTAATATAACAACAATAAATTTAATATTCAATTTGTTAATTGAACAAAAGGAGAGAGTTGAAATACGTAGATATAAATTTGAGATTTATGGGGTTTGGAGGGTATTTCTAATAAATAGATTTAAAGCAATGAAATACATGAATTCAATTACATGTATTTGGAATAAACTCAATTGTATACTTATATTATAAAAACAAATAGTGATATTAAATTTAAATGGTTCAAAGTTAAATACATTTTATGAAAATCATGTTCCCAAACATACGATAAAAGTAATTTTCATGATTTTGTGATAATTGTACTCAGTATGAAGAAAAAAGACTGAATAGTGTTATGTGATTTTATCATTTACAAATTCAAAAGTTATTTGGGGATTTTTTTTTCTAGGAGTATTGGCTCATATTCTTGAGTTTGCATTTTCCTTGACAATCCACATGATTGAAAGCTTGACTTTGTTAACTGTTTGAGGTTATGGAAAATGGCACCTTGAAGAAGAAATAGGTAGTCAATTGTTTGAAGTTGTCGACAATTCTAAATTAGATCTATAATCCATCTTTTCATGGTTGGAATTTAGAGCAAACTACTTATACCTATATCTTTTTG